TAGCTCGGTTGGTAATCGGGCGGCCCCAAAACAGACGGCCGCGTTTCGTATTACGATCATTATTTACACACTTATTTTTTTTACTTTTTTTCTATACCAGATCATTTTCTTTTTTTTTATTTCCAATATACATGATTTACCAAAAAAACCGAGCAAGGCTCTAGTCCTCCAGGTACTTTTCCTTCACCGTTACTTTTTCATTCGTGCCGGCACCGGGGTTGCTCGAGTATATGGAATTAAAAGCGAACACCCGGACAATGAGCTATCACAGCTGATTGGAGTATTGAAGACTATTTCAGAGTAAGAAGACCATCACTCCGTCTAACCATCCCCAGGTTTGCGCAAGACTGCTGGTGGGGACTGCATTGTTGTAGGTTGAGCCGCAGCATGCCTTATGAGATTTTTATGACCCACTATAAACTACCGCAGCCTAGTGATAATACTGATCACGATGATGTTATATTGATTGATGTCTTCGTAGTACACATGACGTGCTGGATTTGACGCCAGGGATCATCGGTTCGATTCCGCACTGGACAAGTATTTTTTTTTGGTCGATAGATAAACTCAGGACCTGGGTAGTTGTACGCGCGAAACTTGTGTTCTAACAACAAGGGATTAAATTAGCACACAGGGAAAGCAATGCTTTTTTATCATATGACAGTTATTCGTTAGCTAATGGTTGACGTATATTTATTAACTAAATAGATATATTCAAATTTATATGAAAAGGCTCAAGGTACCGGGCAAGGGTATTTTTTACTTTAGAATATTTATAGCGCTTAGCACCAAAATAAAAATTGTCTTAGTCGGTTCTTCAATCAAATTTGTCGTTCGATAGAAGATCTATTATTATATGGAGGGTTATGAAGCAGCAGCTCAAACATGGTGGTGATTTTGAGAAAATACGTACCAATTTAAAGTTATTTTAAACCTAACACCAAAGAATCAAATGGATGTTCGGCGAATAAATGAGAATCCTGATAATTTTTTTACCATGATCCAATATTTATTTCGTGTTTTTGTATCTCGTTATCGACTTCTATATTGACAAATTAACGTACGGATACAATATGTAAGTTTGAACCCATCAAGGTTTCGGCCATTAAGATCGTTCATCCGCGGTCTCCCATCTTCACTTCCTCACAAAATGACTCACGGAATGAATCATCGACAGTTAATCCTCGAATCAAGCTGTCTGTCTCACGGACATTTATTTGCATCATTTATTTAATAGAGAAAACGTGAAGCGATATCTGCATAGCAATGTTTATAATTGACGTGGCAGATTGCACGTATCCTTTTTTATTGTAACATAAATGAAGATTATCTTCATTGCTGAAATTATAGCACTGTACAAAAATACCGAGTCTCGTTGCGAGAATGTAATGTTATTTGACATCTAAATTGAACATTACATCTCCGCGAGGGATTTCTTTTAACTAATTTATTATGCACAAAACGAAAAAGTGTCTGTTGGCTCTCAGGCGAGAGTCACATTATTGTATTAGCCTTTTTTAAATAAATTTAAAAATGTTCTGAGGATTTTTTATCTTTTATTCATTCCAGAGTTTCTGTTCTTTAAATTAACGGCTTTCTGTGTATAATAATACATACATCAAAACGTTGTTATGATAAAAGCTTTATGCATAACGACCTACAGTTTTAGTTCTTCTGCCAAGTGTCCTCCTTAATCATTTCAATGACAAATGAATGCAGTTGTAAATTGTTTTATTCTGTACAAGTGCCAGGGATTATAAAAGATTGTCGTCTGCATAAGAGTTTAGTAAAACGATGAAAATGTACACTGTATTCGATAGTTTTTGTATTATAACAGATAATTTACGAGTCACGCTTGAATAGTCAAGCCTGGAAGATAAGTTAATTAAATAAATAATAAGTAAATAAATATTTGCAGACTCATTTTTAGTGTTACACAACGTTCTCTAGTCCCAAACTAAGCAACGCTTGTGTTATTTTCTTTCGTAAATAAATACATACTATAAACATTTTTTTATGTGAGAAAAACGAGCTGCCGGATCACCTGATGTTAAGTGCAAAAGCGCCGCCTATGGCGTTGCCACCTTTAAATAAAGTGAGCCCCGGCTACCTCACTCACCAGACGAAACGCAGAAGTGTAACACTTCTACTTTACGGACGGCCTGCCCATTCGTGCAACAGCGTTGCGGGGCTCTACCACCGTAAACACCGAGACACTGCTAAAGCGCTGTTTTCATCACACAATATTTTTCCTGTAGTGGGATCACACCGAGATCGAACCGACGCAAGAGGCCGGCTCAGTACTCCCCACGCCAATCGGGTCATCTAATAGACTACATCGCGTGAGCTCTAAATGCATTTTTCGGTAGAATAATATGTACATTAAGGTTTTTTACATTTATTCCACGCGAATCTTGTTTTAGAAACTCTGAAAACAACAGAGCCTTGATAAGTCAGTGTCCAGGCGCTCGCCTTACAATGTACTTGATCGAACTGCATTCGAATGTTGGCGCCGGCACCTATGAAGTTGGTGATTGAAATTTTGATTGAAACTTTTTAACTCATAAACTGGCCAGTATTTCGCTACCAACTCAATGTTCTCATTTACCGCTTTAAGTCCCTGCGATAGAAATCTTTCTGACGAACACTGCTCATTTAAGAAATTATTTAAATAAGAAAAAATGTGAAGACTGACAGTCTGCAGTGGTGACGCGTCGTGTATATGTATCCAAATTCTCTACCAGCTGTTCTTTTACTTTGCTTATACCGTTTGAGATGTTGGTTGCGTGAACACTTTACGTTACGTGACGTTATAGACGCGCCGGATGACTCAAATTAATTTTTCTTCTCGGACGCAACTGGAGACGTCGAGCTTATTCCGTAAAAGGCTCACAACTAATGCCGGTGGCGGCGCACGATAAGAATGTCGTTAGAAACGAGATTAACGCCGTCCAGACTCAACTCCATCCGTTCGAATTGATCGAAAGGTAACCGATGGTCGTCGAATAAGAATAGGAATTGGGAGCGGCGTAATTGACAAGTGATAGAAGTTATTGCGTTGATATGCTTAATTATGGAGAAATTAACGTGGAGATGTCGACTGAGATACGTGTCTGTTTCTGGACGTATGGTCGTGATGCAATTCACGTTGGCCGTAATTCTAGTCACTTTATTTTATTAACATGAAACTAATTCATTTTATAACCGTACTCCCGGCGATGGTCGCATATAATTTTTTGTCAAGTTCTGATGATAGGATCCATTATAATATCATGAAATTCCTCAATTCGTAAAGACATCATGTTTCAATTTGTTATAAAAACAGGTGATATCTATTTTAATTCTCTCAATCTTATCTTTAGCATTCTTTTAGAGCCAATTAACAATACTATTATAAATTGTTGACGTTTCGAATTCTTTACAATTATCATTGACATGTTTTTTTTTTCATGGAGTCGCTTAACTTCATTTTATTGGTTTCATTCTTTAAACGATACGAAAATATAAGAAACGGAGATATAAGAATTTATAATTATTTATTAGTAGAGTTTTTATGCGCGAAATTTCAACATGTCTATCAACTTTCAGATTTTTTTCGATTTTTTTTGCATCGTAAAGATATCGGCCGCTTAGATCAGTCTGCTTAAAGCGTCTGGACGCGATAAACATTTCGCTACAAAAATAGACATTATAGATATAAGTGATATATCGAGATAAAGGGGCTCTTTATGGCAGATGGTTATCATGAAACTAGTCTTACCGCAAGCAAGGGCAGCAATCCTTCATACACTGATTCGCTTACAAAAAAATCGCGGTTAACCAGATTACAAATTGAAGTCCAAGCCGAGGTCCTCAGGCCGAAGCAATTACCTACTTGGAAAAGTCAATAATTTAATCTCACGATTGTTGAAGAGACAGAAGGTGTCATATGTAGGTTTTGCTTATATGAATTCTAATGAGCGAATTCGCTTTATGATCTAATTGATTATCCACATTATGTCATAGTTTATCTGCACTATAAAAGCTTTATTTATAGCAGGTAAACGATGTATCCGTTAACCAGAAACTGCAAATTATGGAACCCGGAGCATTTGCGTTTGTTTGCGTGCTAAAAGTTCATTAACATAGTTTTGATTTCCCGGAGGTCGGGCGTGTTTTGCAAAAAGCCTTTTAGCGTGCAAAAAGCATTGGTGCAATTTATCAGATTGCGGAGATAAATTCTGAACGAGATACCGATCGGCCGTATAACGTCAATTTGTATTTGTTTAGAGCGGTCAACGGAGGGGCAATGATGCAGGACTTAGGTATAATGAACCCGTCTGAGAAGTTCTTATTGCTAAATTGGGTCTTGTGTTTCGAGATGATTCCGATTGCATTCGATATAAATTTTTTCTTTAAAATATGTACTTACAATTCGTCGTTTTAAATTGTTTTTTATATTGCACCCTCACTAGATTTATAACGTGTTTACCTGATCAATAATTAAAAATTAATAACTAACATTAATTAATAATAATCTGATAGTCTTTTCTTAGTTTAATTCCATTTGTCATAAAAGTAACTTTTTTTTTTTTTTTTATACTGCTTAATTTGTTTTTCTGTTTTTACCGTATTTTAGTTAATATTTGTATTATTGTAATGCTCGTATTTCACATTTAGTTTTGTAAAAGTTTTTTGGTTTTTGTCTCCACTGCCTGTTGTAATGTAGTTTTTACCTATAATTAAGGTACCACTCATCACTTTTTTGCATATCTTGTATAATTCTTCTGTCACAGTGTGTACTTTGTTGGTGATAAATAAATAAATAAATAAATAAATAAATAAATAAATAATAATTTATTATTAATATTAATACAAAACTAATACGTTTCACTGCATTGTTCGCATCAAATTGGCCCAAACCACCATGCGTAAAATACCTGATGAGCAAATTAACTACAAACAAGTCCTATTCAAGTATTATCATAACGCTATCGACGCGTGCGCAGGCGGAGGTATCATTGTGACCGCTGCATAAGGAGGTATAAAGACGCTAGCCGGCCCGCCTTGACAGCGCCGAGGCGCGAATTATCACTACTCATTATCAGCGAACGATTTATTCGACGCAGCGGCGGCGCGGCGAACCTTTGAATTAAATTAAACAACCCTCGTCAGACCGCGTTGCCACATATTTCATACCTCTCGAGCTTAATCGGATACCTTATCTCGGGGGAGTAGAATAAGTCTATACGCTGTGCTCGCTCGCTGTGTGGCGTCAGTTCGGATTTTATGCAAATCAGCCCTTTCGGCGCGGCCGCTTTATTGCTCATATTTATTTAGGACTTCGTGCGAACTTTTATAATTAAGCCGCGTCGGGTTCGTGTTCGCGCGGGCCGCATCAAACATTCATGTTATGTGACAGTGGTTCGCGAGGAGTTAATTGGCGTTTATTAGCATGTGCGTGACGGGAAAAGCTGGCCAATTACATAGAGATCGCGCCCGCGAACGCGCCGCTTCTTGGCACTGCCAATTATGCGATTGCATCATGAATCCTGAGCGCCCTGGAACGCTACATTTGAAATATGGAACCATATTATTTGCTTCTAACTCTTTGTTACATAGCAGCGTTCGAAACTAAATAAGTTTCAAGGTCTGATCTAGCTTAAATAAGGAGACGAACGTATGTAAATGCGAGGTTATGACTTGTTTAACGATCTGTCGTAGGCGTATTAGCAAACTTCAGCTTTTCACTATTAAATATTTTCCGATACATTGATGGACTTTACCTGTTTGAAAATATGATCTTATGAATTATATCACGATTTATTTATTTTAAAATAAGGACTTTAAACGTCTTCATATTGCTTTCAGGATTTTATTTGTATTTATTTTCCTAATTTTAAATTCACAAGTTTCAAAAAGTTGACCTTTAAGTGACGTTAGCCTGGGCTAACAGTGACATCAAAATGAATATCGCCTTAGTCCATGTAGTGAGTATGAACAATGCAAAATATTTGAAACGTCCCGAGTTAAATATCATTAAAAAAAGATTAAAGAAAAAAAACGTAAAGAAGATTTAAAAAATAAGTGTCGTACTCATGCACTGATGTCCTTTAGACGTATATAGTTTTATAAGGAATTTTTTTTTAAACTGAAACTGTTCATAGATAAAGAAACCTACTTTAAATAGACATATAAGCTTTCCTTAAAAGTTGTTGATGTTCTTTTTAGAGCATTCACGTTATTATTTATTTATTATTTATGTACACAAAATATAAAAAAGGCGGCATTATCAACCAGTCAACTCTATATTATAGATAAGTGATATTACAAATGTGTTACGTCCTAACTTTCATGGAAATCGAACTACACTGCTAAATTTGTTAAATAGTTAGCGAAAATGTTCGTTGTTACATTAATATTAATTAAGGCCTAACAAATGGACCGGTCTAATGATTAATAATGGGCTCTTTGTTGGAGTTGAAACTCCGTTCGCTAAATTTGTTTAGAGACCTTAACGTTGCTCGGTGGAAGTTTAAGTAGTCCGTGGCGTTTGAAATGCCAATTATTATTTGTCAATGTTTCGTAACAAACAACTAATACATATTTTAATGTGAAAAATTGTCAAACCGGCACGCGGTTTATCTGTTGTTAAGTGAGTACCGCAGCCTATGAACATCTAGATCACCCGAGGACTTACATATGCATTGACACCCTTTAAAAAATTGGCACCGGTTACCTCTGTCACCAGACGAAGCGTTCTCGCTTCGTTTAACTATTCCACGTCACGGCGGCCTTCTGTGAGGCCGTAGTTCTTCTCCGGCCGTGCCTGCCCATTTGTCGCGTGACCCTACCACAGACCATGACATGTGTCACAGTTAGAAACGTCATTAAACAAAAGATCAAACCTATGGAAATGACATTGTCATTCGAAAACACGCTCTTTGTGGTCATCGATACAATATTATAAGTTCCAATGATCAAATACCATTGGAATCATCGGCGAAAATATGACAACCATCCGAGAATTTTGCGTAGCAACTAGCGAACGTTATGAGATTACAGAATGCTCCTGTTGGAGCAGGCTCATACTGTATTCCCGGGTTGGGACCTGGTGGTTCGAAGAAACGAACGTGTTTAATTCAAGCTGCATCTAATGACGGGCCTATGACGGCCTGTAATATCGACGTCGGGGTCATCAGCTATGCACTGGGCGCGCGGTACGTGTATCCGTGCGTACGGTTCTGCGTACCACTTCTAGTCTCGCCGGTCTCTGTCTTTGTTTGATGTTTTCTACTTTAAGGACTATGCGAAGTCGTTGGACGTAGCTCGTAAAAGGCGACAGTCTCACGCGTACTGCGGGACTGGATATGGCTTTATGACATTCAATGTGTTTAGTAACACATGTAGTCCAGTAGTTGTGATGTCCGCCTTGCGAACGTTCCGTAAAAAACGTCCGATTACGATGATGCGAAGTCCTTAAATAAGCTCAGGACTAACGATAAAGGACATGAAGTTTATTTTGTTTCATGTTTACAATTCGGAAACAGAACATTACAAATGAATAGTGAAGGAAACGAAAACTAAACTCAAAATACGCCTAAGAATATTTTCAAACCAGGGAATATATTTTGAAATTAAGGAGAGGTCACGGATAACTCTGACATTCTGCGTCTCAATGTGTAGATTACGGTTTAGATTAATTGCTACGAACCGTGAGAAATCGGTGTTAAGGCGTAGGCTTTTAATTCATAATTGTCGAGTAACATGAGTACAAATCCCGATGCCGGCACCAATGAAATTAATAATTTAAAGTGCTTAATCACTTGCTCAGCGATGAAGTGAAACATCACAAACCTGCATATTTTCGAAATAATAAAAAAAGTATTTCAAAGCTATGAATTCCGCCAATTCGCAGTTGGGTCGCGTATTGAACAATGGTCTACTACCCTCTGTACAGAGGCTATGATCTTTTCAAACTTTTTCAAAAAAAGGGTGATGATGTATTGTAGTTACCACAGCACACTCTTCGACTGATTAATCAGACAGATTATAACAGATATTAGATAATTTATTGTAGCGAAAAGCGGCATTTGTTTGTCCAATTTTTCGCTCATGAATATACGTAAGCTAATAGCTTGTTTACGTTAAGAGTGTTTTGTTCTTTGCAACGTTGCTTTGAATTAATTTAAATTTTTATTTTTTAAAGATTTTCGTCGTTGTGGCTATCAGCCGTTTAGCTCAGTGGCTAGAGCGTCAGGCCACGAATGCCGAAGACGTGGGTTCGATTCCCACAGCGGCGACAATCTTTTTCTACATATTTTAATGTTCAATCTTAAGTGCAAAGATTAGCACTATAAACAATTTAAATTTTTAATTTAAATTATTTATTAATTTTTCAGGTACGTGTGCACAATACTTCGAAGACCTGCTATAAATGGTTTGGGAATTAATTTTACTTTTATTGAGATCAAATCTTTATTTAACGCATCGGCTGTTAGATCAGATTGCCCATCAACGTATAATGTAATAATAAAAAAAAATTGATTTTATGAACGATCTCAAAAGTTACATAAAGTATGATGCTACTACTTAATGCGGTAGGACCACGTAACAGTGTTCACTGTTGCACGAATGGGCAGATCCGTCCGGGTAAGTACCACGACCTCACAGAAGACCGGCGTAAAGTAGAAAAGTGAGGTTGCCGGGGCCTACTTTATTTATAGGTGGCAACGCATTTGCAACCCTACGGGTGTTGCAAACGTCCACAGGCGGTGGTTATCACTTAACATCAGGTGAGGCGCCAGCTCGTTTACCACTTTCTCACATAAAAAAAAAACTAACCCAAAAATATTTTTTTATTCAAATAGTTTTTAAAAATCTGATATAAAATATTGAATGTGCATTATTTTAAATTGTTCATTCGCTTCATATGACATAAAATTCTCCTAGTTTGTTCCACTAAAGTTTGTAAACAAATTTTTAATAATTGTTACACCGTGTTTATTACGCACGAATTATAACATAAATGATAAATTTACGCCTTAGACTTACTTGTTATGTTTAATGGTAGATGATTAATGATGGAATAGGGAGGTACCTATGTATCATGGGGGTTAGATCTCTATCTAGAAGTAAATTGAAAACTCAATAACATTTCAAGAATTAAGAACTAAAAGCTTCACCGGCTTTCTGCAAATGCGAATTAGCTCTGATATTTTAACGGTCGCTTTGAACCGAAATATAGGTAAATGTATTTCCCTACAGAGCGAACCGAAATAAATGGAGTGTCCTTATATTTTATAAAACGTAGAGCTTGTTTATGACTCGCTTTTGTTCCGAGCCGTGTTGCTCTCGGTGAATAAAATGTAGATTTGTGGTGAAACATTTATTATACGTATTCCGTTTATAGCGGATGTTTCATTTTATTCAGGCGCTTGATGTTATTTCACGTAGTCAATTTTCTATTTTTATAACTTTCTGTCATTGAAGATTGATGTTTATTTTGTTCCCTGTTGCTAATTCATCTAATTTCCTGTAATATTCAAGCATAACGAAGCTACAACACTGACATTCTGCTTAAGTAGAGCAATCGCAGCTTTTATGGCTGTCATATGATACCTGTTACGAGAATGGATGTGAGCCTTCTGGATGGCAACTTTAACTAGGTAGCACTAAGTCCACACAGAATACCAGCGTGAAGTAAAACAATAAACACTAATTCGTTTCGGCCGCTGGCTCAGTTAGCCAGAGAACAGAGCTTTCAGTTGTAGGGAACGCGTTTTCAAAATCTCTGCTGTTGTGTGAGTGTTCATAGTTCGCAGTCCTTACCATCATTTGAATGACACTTTAGCCGCTTTAAAAATAATTTGGCAGTTTTTTTACTGACATAAATAATCATCATTCATCATAACCGTATCTTATGCATCTTGTATGTTATAACGATTCACCCTAAAGCATCTCAAAGTCGCACACACACACAGTAAAATATTGCTTGGTTTAAGTCTCTTATTACCTATATGTAATAAGCATTAACATTAACTGATACTAACTCATCCTCTATACTATTTACGACGAAACCATATTAAAAATAAAATACACTCTAAATTAGTGCGCCCAAAAATTATATATAAATAAAATTATTAGACACATTAATTACACGATCTCGAATAACATTATACGCATCGGCATTCGGGTAAATAAACTAGTATTACGAATTTCTGATAGTGTTATATAGCGGAGTATATTTTAAAGTCAAATAAAAGCTGAGACAATCCGAAAGAATCGTAGCTGGTGGAAGCGGAAATTTAATAATACATTCCAGCTATCT